GGACCAAATGCCCAATGTGGCACGGGAAGGTTCAGGGACGCGCAGCGGGGTGTGTTGTGGAGCCTGTTGTGCTTTCTCATGCTCTTTCATCTTACCAGGTGATAGGTGCTGAAGACTGTAAAACAGGTATGTAATGCATTCATCTTACCAGGTGATAGGTGCTGAAGACTGTACAACAGTATTCAATACTGCTGAACTTTTCGGTTGCCACCCAAGTCGTCTCTCCATCGTCTACTTCCACCTTCACGACCAGTCCCTGCCTCTCCGCGTCCTTCATCATTGCTGGATCATCTTTGTAAAAAAGCATGAAGATGTCGATGTAGGTAGTGTATACGTGACGGAGGTTGGTGATCCCCTGAGGGAAGCAGACTTGGTGCCATAGTGGGTTGCGCTTGATGAGTTTGAGGAGGCGGGTGACTTCTGATGGGTCTGTGCTCCAGCTTGAAAAGACGTTAGCGATGGAGTTGCAGGGGACAGGAGGCTTATTTACCGGACCCGGACGCTCAGCCTCGGGATGCTGCTGGTCGTAGCTGGTGCTGGGGCAGACGAAGGCATCTTTTCGGCTCAGTAAAAGACTTAAGGGATGGAAGAGAAGAAAATTTGGGCGTTGACGAGCAACTGACAGCAACAACACACCAGGGAAGCGGCGCACACCTCCACCGTAGCTCGGAAGCCCGAACGCCTCCTGGAGAGTCAAGAGAGAGTCAGATCACAGATGTATCTACCAATCGAAAAGGCCACAGAGCTGGAACCAGCGTATTTAGGTGGGGCGGTGGACATGCTTGATGGTGAGCGGAACGACAGACCGACTTTTGGCGGAATGGAGATGAGAAGAGATGCGAATATTCTGTCACACGTAGTAATTCCCTGAAGTGGCATTGGCGCTGAGTTGTGTGGATGGTTGAAGGACGCGCGGTGTACATACTCAATTGATATCTCATTGTTCTACTCTTTCCTTATGCGATAATACCGAAAAGGTCTTTTCCCCTCTAAAAACACCTTTCCAGTCCCCCCTCCCTGCTGCGTCCCAGCTCGGCCGTGACATATTCACAATAAGATTTATACCGAAAGGCATTCAAGAGCCAAGAATTGAGCGTGAAGGTCTGGAAGAAGAATCGAACGGATTCCGGGACTGGGCTACCCGTCGATGATGAGTTTGCATGATATACCGGTCATTCCTCTGAACCTTGCTTCCTTCTTCTTTCCCCATGTCCCTTATTCCTCATTTCCGGACTGTACCAAGCATCGAGGAGGGTCGGGCCCGAAATGAATTGTCGATCCATGCAATGTAGCTGGCTGGGTACTGGGTAGACTCTGGTACCAGAGAGACAAGCACAGCGATCGATTGAGAAGCGGGCTGGGCGGGGACCCCCGGCGTCATTCTTACGGGAACAGCTGGGCCCGCTGGACTTGAAAAGTGGAGGCCAACTCAGGCAGCTATTGTTTGGTTCCATTATCTTGCGTTGCCAGTACCACCCGACGCTCTGGACAGTCCATACCGCTTCATTCAAAGCCCCACAGAACACCATCTGGCGTATGCTCACGTCAGGACCACGTTGAGTCCGCCTGATCGCGGGCGCGTGAGAACACGTGTCAGCCGCCGGTAGCCTGGAGACGAGCGTGCAAACATTTGCTTGTGATGATACGAATATTTCTCTTTTGCACTTCTCTCGAGATCTCGCCATCCTCTTCCTCCTGTCTCTCGCTCCCCCCCAACGGTGCGTCTTCCTTCGGCGTCTCTATAGTCCGCCGTGATGGGCGATAGAGGCTGACGAATGGCCTAGGAGCGCTTCCTCCCCTAACTTCTCACCGCCCGCCCCACCTTTTTCCCTCTTCTTATCGATGCTCCTGCTCGGTACTCTCTCCTCGATGGCCTTCCTGGACGACCTACCGGGCCCGCTTGCATTCCCACTAGTACGCTCCCCCTCGTCCGTGCAACTCTTCCCCAGCCCCCCCTCCCCGGCTGTGAGGGTAGAGGAATCAGCTCCTCGAGCTCACAGCCCTTTGTGTGAGCACCAATGACTTGCTTGGGTCCCGAAACATCACTAACCAGGGTGTCATTTTTAGACCTCCGTTCCCTGCGAGCCTTTCCCCTCCCCACTCGCATCGCTCGTCCACGTTTGGGCGGTATCGACTTGTCCGCTACACTTCACACGCACAGCGACACGGGAACATCACACGAAGGGGAAGAACCCTCACCGGTGGTAAGCTTGGCATCCCTTATCGCCCGTCAGTACGCTGATGAGCTCTGGCTTAGACTGCGTCGCTGAAGAGAGCTCTTTCTCTTCTCGCAGCTGATGCGACCTCTCTCAACGTCCGGAGAACGATTGGTAGGCTCTCCACAGGATCCGGCCACAGGTGATGTGCTGACCAGCACTTAGAGGACACAGTCGCGGTGTACCGTCAATACGTCATAGCGCAGGAGAAGCCATCGAAAAGGTTGAGCTACACTCAGCCCAAATGGGAGAAGGGATGGAGGGGGATCCTTCAGCAGGGGACCGGTGGGGTGTCTAAAACCCTCCTTGATCAACACGAGGATCTCCTACGGGAGATGTTGATCGAGGCTGGGACGACCGAGGAGAAGGAGATTGGGTAGACCTTGCGTCACCTTCGTGACCCCTGGCCTCTCACATGCAAGGTTATACACGACCACACCACCGACCCCCTGGTGTATCGTGAAGGTGACCTCTCTCCAAAGTCATCCGCAGCCTTCTCCGTCCTCCGAAGGTTTGCCACGTCGGTGCGACCAGGGAAAGCCTGGAAGATTAGCGGCGGTGAGGCGAGGTTCTTGGATGTAGATAATGTTGTAAACCCATAGTCTATCATGTAAAGTATCACTTCACCAAACACGGAACATGCTTACATTGCACTTGGCGCGCCACCTCTACGTGTGCAGCTCCTTTTCGAAACTTCTGGCCAGCCGTCCACCCGATGCAGATTGGTCTAGACGGGTCATCAAGTCGCAGATTACGTGAGTAGGAATGCGATCGTCAAAGTGGAGAAGGCGCGGATGACGATTGAGAGAGAGTCGAGTGAGAGAGCGGTCACAAAGGTCGCCGTTCTGTCTATATCACAAATGGGAAGCCTGATGACCCGTCCTTCAACGTCCCGGGCTTCTTCCTGAGAATGGTATGGTGATACTCCATCAACCGTCTTCGATGCCGCCACGTCGGTCGCCCAAGTTATTGCGCTCGGGCCTCCCCTTCTCCCCTGTCCGCGCAAGCAGCGATTATCCCGTACAATTCAAATAGCAATTCATTCTCTTGTTATCTCAATTCAGGACTTTATTTACAATCAATCTTCTTATACCAGACCATTTCACCAAGACAGAACCCGAGAGGAAAAGAAAAACACTCTACTCGCTCGTCCCGACACTAGCCACCTGCTTCTTATTCTCCCCACCCCCAACCACCCCACTCGCCAAACTCTCCAACACCCCCTTCTTCCCCTTATCCTCCCCATACGGCCACTTCCACCCCCGCACCTCCTCCGGATCGATCCCATGCTCATACGCCCACTCCTTCGCCTTGATCTGCGCCCCCAACAGCTTCTCCCTCGCCACGCTCCCCTTGTTCTTGAGGTTGGGCAAGCGGTCGATAGCGTCGATGGCGAGCGAGTATCGGTCGGTTTGGTTTCGGATAGCGAGCTCGAGGGGAGTGTCGATGTTGCCCTTTTCTTTGTAGCCGCGGACGTGGATGTTGAGGTGTCCGGGGCGTTTGTAGGTGAGGCGGTGGATGAGCCAGGGGTAGGAGTGGAAGTTGAAGATGATGGGGGTGTTGGCCGTAAAGTAGGAGGTCCACTCGTGGTTTGTTAACCCATGCCTACGCCTGATCAGTATACACTCGCGTGAAAAAGAAGAGAAGGACGTACGGGTGATCCTCATGATCAATCAACTTGAACAAGTCAACAACGTTGACAAATCTAATCTTCAACTCTGGCAAATACTCCTTCAACAACGCCGTCGCAGCCAGTGACTCCATAGTAGGCACATCCCCACAACAAGCCATGACCAAATCAGGCTCTTCGTTCGCATCCCCGACACACGCCCACTCCCATATACCGAGACCCTTGGTACAGTGGATCTTGGCTTCCTCCATGGTGAGGTACTGGAGATGGTCTTGTTTGTCTGCGACGATGACGTTGACGTAGTTTTTGCTCTCGAGGCAGTGGGACATGGTTGATAGAAGGGTATTGCCGTCGGGAGGGAGGTAGATGCGCACGACTTCGGGAGACTTGTTGGCGACGACATCGAGGAACCCCGGGTCTTGGTGCGTGAACCCGTTGTGGTCCTGCCTCCAGACCGTAGCGGTGAGGAGAATGTTGAGCGAGGAGACTTTGGCGCGCCATTCGACTTCGAGGCATTTCTCGATCCATTTGCAGTGCTGGTTCACCATGGAGTCGATAATGTGGATGAATGGTTCATACGAGTTGAGCTATGCGTATGTCAGTGAGAAAGTCTCTGGAGGGGGAGGGGGAAGGGGACTCACAAGACCGTGTCGGCCGGACAAGACGTATCCCTCAAGCCAACCTTCGACAGTATGCTCCGACAGAATCTCCATCACCCTCCCTTCATGCGCCAAGTTCCCTGCATCCCCATCCTCCTCCAGATACTCGCCCATCCACACCTTCTTGCCCGCCTCATACACCTTGCCCAACTTGTTACTCTCGGTCTCATCCGGACCAAACAGTCTAAAGTTGGTTTGGTTCTGCGCAATGACGTCTCGAAGCCAGATGGCCATGTTGGCCATGCTCGGACCGAGGGATGCGCCAGGGGAGATGTTTGTGAACGCATACTTGCCAAAGTCGGGCAGTCGCAGCGCCTTGCGGATCGTACCCCCATTCGCCACAGGATTCGCCGACATCCTCTTATTACCCTTTGGCGGCAACTCCTTGAGCTCTGGGATAAGCTTGCCTTCGGGCGTGAAGAGCTCTTCGGGCTTGTAGCCCTTCATCCAGTCTACCAACAGCTTGAGATGCTCCGAGCTGGTAGCGACGTCGGCGAGGGGGATCTGATGCGCACGCCAGTAGCCTTCGAGGTGATGCCCCGATACGTTCCTCGGCGCTGTCCAACCTTTAGGCGAACGGAGGATGACCATCGGCCACTTGGGTCTGAACGCCTTGCCAGACTCCCGGGCTTGCTTCTGGTAGCCCTTGATGTCGAGGACGCACTGCTCGAGGGTGGCGGCCATGGCTTGGTGCATGGATTCGAGGTCGGAGCCTTCGACAAAGTAGGGTTTCCAGCCGTAGCCGATGAAGAGGGCTTCGATCTCTTCGTGCGAGATACGGGCGAGGACGGTGGGGTTGTTGATCTTGTAGCTATACAAGAAGTGTCAGATATGATTCGAGGATAGGGAGGGAGGGCTTACCCGTTGAGGTGCAGGACAGGGAGAACGGCGCCGTCGGTGATGGGGTTCAAAAACTTGGTACTGTGCCAAGACGTCGCCAACGGCCCAGTCTCACTCTCCCCATCGCCCACCATCGTCAAAGTAATCAACTCGGGATGGTCAAACACGGTTCCGAAAGCGTGCGAGATGGAATACCCCAGCTCTCCGCCTTCGTGCAGAGAACCAGGGGTCTCGGGGGTAGCATGGGAACCGACACCGCCAGGGAATGAGAATTGCTTGAAGAAGAGGCGCATGCCTTCGACGTCTTCGGTGATGTTGGGGTAGACTTCCGAGTAGACGCCTTCGAGGTAGGACTGGGAGAGGACGGCGGGTGCGCCGTGGCCTGAGAGGGTGTTAGTAGGTGTAGACCCCCGTCCCACCCCCGACCAAGGAAATTGACTCACCTGGCCCCGAAACATAGAGCGCATCCAAATCATACTTCTTGATCAACCTGTTGAAATGGATATACGTGAATATCTGCCCACTGTCCGACCCCCAGTGCCCCAAGAGCCTAGCCTTGAGGTGCTCCTTGGTCAGCGGCTCCTTGAGCAGCGGGTTCTGCTTGAGGTAGAGCATGCCCAAGCAGAGGTAGAGGGATGCGCGCATGTAGGCGTCTGTCTGTTCGAGGTCATGCTTGCTGAGGGGTGCGCCCTTGACGGTGGCGCGGGCGGTGCCGAAGGAGGTGAGGGAGTGGGAGTCGCTCATGGCGGATGGGGTTGCAAGGGGGGGGTACAGGACGCCTTATAAAGTATACCGTGATACGTTCCCACCCGGGTCCCGCCGAGCGTGCGATCCATTCCGATCTCGCATCAACTCGTGCATCCTGTGACCTGTACCGGTGCGGTCTCCAGGATCCATTCCCTACAATCCGCCATGCATCGCCCCCTACCCCAGTGCATGCCGCCGAGCCGCCGAGACCCCACATCCCTCGGCACCCCCGAATACAGCCGGCATCTCTCCTCGACGTACGGGTCGGTATACTCCATGCATACGTTCTCCCACCTCTCTCCCCCTCGTCGTACTCATCTCCTCTATCTGCCCTCATCTCCTCTATCTGCCCCTTCAAGCACGCACGGCATCCAAACCAACCCGGTCACTGGCCAAGTAACATACGCAGCCCGTCGGCCCCCACGTTCGAGTCTTCCCGCATCCGGAAAGTGGAGGCTTGAGTCGTGGCTTGCGGCCACTTTGAAGCTTAAACCCTGTCTCTCCTTCTTTTGCTATTCTCGTCGAGAGATAAGGGGAGATGTATTCAGCAGTATTCAGCAGTATTCAGCAGTGTTCAGCAGTGTTCAGCAGTAGTAGTCACTTTCAGAAAGCTCGGGATTTTCAGGGGTATGCGAGATAGGTGCTTGAAGAGACAAAGCTTGATAAGGATGTGCGGCAAAAGGCAAGAGATAGGGCGAGATATGTACCGACACTTAATGTGCATACTGACAAGTCACATAACCCCGATCCGTACTCGACGACTACAGGTACAGGGGCTCAGAGACGACAATAGAAACAGACGTTTGTAACTCCCAAAAGAAGAACCGAGAAAAATGAAGAGGAAAGAAAAAGTAGATGATCGAAGAACGAATAGTAGATAGATCAACAGATGACATTCTATAGGATTTGTGGAATCACACCTCGACTTCCAAGTCTTTCAACGCCAGCGCCCAAGACCACCCCCTTGCATCCCTCCTTATCGCTTCTTTGAAAAAAGCTACACCATCATCAGCACCATTCCCCAATCCCAAAAGATGAATCAGACTCACCTTGTTGAACAGCGCCAACACTTTCGGCACATTCAGCTGCACATACTCCAGATCCAACATGGCCTGCTGATCTTTTTGCTTTTCCAGCAAATCATCAATCTTGAGATCCATCTCCAATATCGGCTTGTCGCGTCCTTTGAAATGGAGGGCGATGATGAATGTGCCGGGAGCGGGGGAGGTGATCATAAAGTAAATGTTCATCCGTCTATCCCAAAGTCAGCTCGCACCTTATGATAAGAAGAAAGGACTTACCGATTCTCCGGGACATTACTCTCCATGATAATCCCCTCCTTCTCAAACTCCCTATGCTTAAACATGTACGGCCCCAACATCTTCTTATCCACCTGCTTCTTCTCCTTTCCATTCACCGTCACCACTCCCACCCCCGTCGCGCCCTTATCCTTACTACTCGTCAACCTCACATTCTGCAAATACGCCTTGTACTGCTCCAACTGCCCCCTCAGGTAATTGTTGTGATCGCAGATCGTCTTGTAGACTGACTCCAAAGACCGCGCTTCGAGCACGACTTTCTCTCTGGCATTCCCCAGGTGCACCATCTCGGCAGAGACCTCATCTTGCATGAGCTTGTACTCGTCCGCGCGATCGATTACCCCAGCAGCATCCAGCTCTGTAAGCAGCGCTTGAACTTTGATCCCCCGTCGGACGAGCACCGGGTCTTTACTCGTAGCCGCCTTCTCCGCCAGCGCGCCCAAGTTGATTGGCCTCTTGTCCGCTATAGTCGGCATCGAACGAAGCAGCTGCACAAAGATGGACTTCGTCTCCATATAGTTGATGTCGTTTTGCGTGACGGAATCCGACATGAGGGAGGTGGACAAGTCTTGGATGGGGGTTTCCCAGCGCGAGTAGAGGGGGAGCTCGATGGAGCGGTTTTCTTTACGCGGCACTTGGGCGGGGGCGGCGCCGAGTTCGTCGAGTAGGATGCGGAGGTGGTGTTTGTCGTTTGGAGACTGCGTGTTGATTAGTATAGATTGAGACGGGGATGGGGAGGGCGTACCAGGACGTCCATATGTTGCATCAACAACGAATGCGTGTTGTACAGCTCATTCAAGGTAATGTTGATTTGCAGGTCCTTCTTTGACAGTGCCATATATTGGTCCAACTATCATACTAGTCAGCTCTGTCCGGCTCCGGGAAATGTCGACGCACCTCGAGAGACTCATAAAAGTCTCCAACCTCACACAGAGCATTCAAAAACTGGTTCATCCTCGCCTTGTTGTTCTCCACAAACGGGTTGAGCGACATCATATACTGCTCTTTCGCATAACTCGGTTTGTTTGCCAGGTTTTGCAGCATCTTTGCGATCTAGCCCAGAGTCAGTTACCATTGATACACTGTGCAGGAGAGACGTACCAGAGTCAACGTTCGACGGGGGTGTTTGGCAGGGACGCCGTCGACAAGCATGTATGCCTGCGGAGTGACGATGGCCGGGTTGATGAATCGAAGAAAGAAGAATCCACCAATAAGCGAGCAAATACTCGCATCCGTAGCATCCGGATACTTTCTCTACAACCCGTATCAGCTACAACCCTTTTGACTTGAAATCGACTTACTCTCGTCAAGCTCCTGATCTGTTTGCAGATCCACCTAATCCCATACGGCACCGAATCAAGACTGTCGATAATAGTCGACAGGAACGAGTTGGCGATTTCCATAAGCATGGTGATGCGAGGGATGATGATGGCTTGTACGTCCGAGTTGGCAGCCGCGACTTCTGGCGGTACGCCTCGGGGTAGAGAGGGCGGCAGCCTGCCGGTATCTTCCTCAATCTGCTGGATCATCTGTTCATACACCTACTCCCCATCAGCCCCGTCTACATCCATAGAGGTAGCACTCACTTTGAGAGGGTTAATCTCTAGGTTCAAATCCTTGTGCTCGATGAGACTGTTGATCCTGTCCGCCAATACGCCTTTGAGGTAGCTCTGACCGGGTCCACGCCGTGTGTAGGTGGTCATCATTCTGGAGACGGGGGTGTTGGCACGGAGGAGGGAGCCGAATTCGGTGGTCGTTTCGAATTGGGCGGATAGTACGCTCTGCAAAGCTATCAGCATATATACCCCAAGCGAGACACCGCGACTCACCTGGAACATTGTCAACAGCAAATGCTCTTCCCTCTGCTCGTACTGATTACCATAGAGCGTAAACATGACCGTCTGAAGCAAGGTGTCAATCTCGGACAGGCTAACGAGCCTACACAGACTAGCGATATGCCTGGGCTCGCTCTGCAACAAAAAGAACAAGTTGGCATACTGCCCCATCTTCTTCTCATCCGGCCACAGCCCGCTATCCTCATCCACATCCTCCAACGTCTCTGCCACCTGCCTCTTTTCATCCGCAGCCATCCTGTTTTGGATCAGGAGCGCAATCCTCGAATCGAGATATCGCACGTCCCTCTCCAGCACAAAGTTCTTTTTCGACTGGGACGAGATCCTGGACTTGAGGTCTCGCAGCTTCTTTTGCGCTCGGGAAAGCTCGTCTTCAAGCTCGATATCCTGCTCGGCGGCGAGAGAGTACATGGCGTTGACAGAGTAACGGTTGGTCATTCTGTTGGTGAGGCGGCGGGAGAGATGCGAGTGCACAGAGGCGGAGGGGGAGTGGGTGGAGGTGGAAGGCGTGGCCGGGGTGGCCATTGTCATCGTGGTCATCGTCCGTGTTTGCGGTGGGAGTGACAAGAAAGTTTGATTGTAACGCTTGTCAAAAGACGCGTTGGGGAGAATCTGGCGCGTGTCCAGGATCTCAAGAAAGGGCGAGTGGGTAAACTGAGCGCAAGAGATTCAGTACAGCGGGTGGTGGAGAGAGATGAAGTTGGATGGGGATACTCTGTCGTTCGAGACGGAGCGGTGGGTGATGTCGGACGCGACGACAAAGGAGATGGTCGTGAGGGCGGGGCCGTGGGCGGGCGTTGGGTGGTGATGGGGTGCGCTATGTAGGGGCAGGCGGAGGGGGCCGCAAGAGGCGGAGAGATGGGAAAGGGGAAGTGTAAACAAAAAGAACAGGATCAAGATAAATGAGCGAGAGACAATAACATACCGGCGGCGCGTGCGCGGGACAGCGTTCCTTGGCCGAATTATGTAATTTGATGCCGCAATACAAACTTTCTTATCAGCCTACTAGCGTGTTTCATTCAAACTCTAATGCGGAAGCTAATTGCTCTTACTCGACGCCTGCGGTTCAGCGAGAGCCAGCCAGGATGCCATACGAGTAACGTACTCGTACATGCAGCCTGGGGTTTGCATTCCCGAACGCATTCCCGGTTCATGTGTGCCTTGCCAATCATCGAGTGGTGACAAGTGGAGCTGGCTAATGAATGTTCGAGCAGCATCGCACCGGCAGCGGGAGAGAGCATTCGGCGGATGACGAGAGTAAGCTACGACGGCTGGCAAGTGCCTGCTGATTGATTGCGACAAACAAGCGACAAACGCCTGCTCGTGCAAGACCTTGGCTCTCACTCCACCATGTCCAGCGGCGTATTTCAAACTCCAGCTTTCATTTATGCACGCAACTTATGTGTTGTATCGAAGAGATGTGTCGCGATGTAGCGTGTGAACGTGCCGGCGCAGCGTCGCATGCGCGGGACCATAAGCCAGCTCGTGATGATCAATCTGCATTTATCCTCCTCCCTCTCTCTTCTGAAAAATACTTCTGAGGTTGTCTTTTGCAGATGTTGCCCCTCTGTATTTCAGCTAGCTCATGGGGGGCGAACAAAACCTCTCAACAATGACTCGCTGGAAACATATTCACTCAACATGCCTCGCACTCTTCTAGACCAGCATCACGAATAACATGTAACATCTTCTCTCCAAAATGCCATCCCTAGATTCTACCCTTCATGCCCTCTCTCTCCACCTGAACCCGACCGGCGGAACTGGCAAGAAGACGAAAAGACGACAAAAAAGCAAAAACGACGGCACCCGGGATTCCCAGGTGGTCCCCCACCCTGGTACTAACCGAGCGCTCTCCTAGTTGACTTCGCGGATCAGACGGGACGCGGTACTTTGAGGAGGCTATGGCCGTCGATATTGGTTTTAGCGTAGGTAACAATATGACGGCTATGACCATCTCACCACTCAACCCATCTATTACTCAACGGTCGTATGTGTCACTCACAGCATGCATGCAAGGCTGTAGCGCTCGGCGATTCTCCGTCTCCTCCTTTTTGGCCTACTGACGCATACAGTGGCAAGCGGGCAACTGTGAGGACAAGTTGAAGAAGAAAAGCAGCATGGGATCTGGATCTGAAGAGGGATCTTGATGATCGGGGGCGCCGAGAACAGCTGCTGGAATGACTCGACAGCTCTCTTTTTTCCCACCATGATTTGCCAGCTGGAAGGCTCATATCTCTATGCACGACTCTAAATGGGTGTTCAAGCCGACTATGGGATGCATGGAAGGGGAGTGTCCAAGCCGAGTCGCAGTTGAAGCATTTCGCCTACGTAAAAGACGTCCCGTCGGGAAGGTACCCGCCCGACGCTTATCGGCGATCACCGCCCTCCCCGTCTCGGTCGACTCGTTCATCTGGATCTGTATTTTCTCCATTTCTTTTCCACAACCTCCCCAAAATGTCCTCATCAGAGCCCACCATCATCCCCTCCTCCAACCCCAATCCTAACGGCGCCCCCGCCTCCCACGGCACCTCCACCCCTCTCCTCGGCCCCAGAGGTGGAGGCGCCAGCAGCGGCGCTGGCGGTAGTTTCGGCGTCAAGAGCGGTCTTGCTCAGATGCTGAAAGGCGGGTGAGTATCTTGATGACTATGCGAAGCACGCTAATGGTCAACAGTGTCATCATGGACGTTATGAACGCCGAACAAGCCAAGATCGCCGAAGAGGCTGGTGCTTCTGCTGTCATGGCCCTTGGTACGTATCTGCTTGTTTCTTGGGCTTCAGCTGACGCATAGTGCAGAGCGAATTCCCGCCAACATTCGACAAGATGGCGGTGTCGCTCGTATGTCTGACCCCGGTATGATCAAGGAGATCATGGAGGCCGTCTCGATCCCTGTCATGGCCAAGGTCCGTATCGGCCACACCGTTGAGGCCCAGATCTTGCAGGCTGTCGGTGTCGACTATATCGATGTGAGTTCTCTTGGTAAACTTTGACAGTCAACTGACAATGTTAGGAATCCGAGGTTCTCACTCCCGCCGACGACCAGCACCACATCGGCAAACACGCGTTCAAAGTCCCCTTCGTCTGTGGCTGCAAGAACCTTGGTGAAGCTCTCCGTCGTATCTCTGAAGGCGCCGCCATGATCCGAACCAAGGGTGAGGCTGGTACCGGTGATGTTGTTGAGGCCGTCAGGCACCAAAGGCAGGTGATGGGCGAAGTGCGAAAGGCCGCGGCGATGACGGACGAAGAGTTGTATGCGTATGCCAAGGACATCTCGGCGCCTTACCATCTGTTGAAGGAGACTGCTAGGCTCAAGAGGCTGCCGGTTGTTTCGTAAGTCGTCTTTTCCCGCCTAGATTCTCTAGCTGACCGGCCTTAGCTTTGCTGCTGGTGGTGTCGCTACCCCTGCCGACGCCGCTCTCATGATGCAGCTTGGCTGCGACGGTGTCTTTGTCGGTTCCGGTATCTGTAGGTCCATCTTCTTTCCTTCTCCCCTCTCAAGCTGACCTCCCACAAGTCTTGTCCGGCGACCCCGCCAAGCGTGCCCGAGCTATCGTCCAAGCTGTCACCCACTACAACAACCCCACCGTCCTCGCCGAGATCTCCACCAACATCGGCGACGCCATGGTTGGTATCAGCACGTGAGTCTCTGCTCACTCCAACACATCAACATATGTGCACAAGTTGATGGATGTGAATAGGGCGCAAGAGGGCGCCAACATCCAGGGCGGCCGCTTGGCTGGCCGAGGCAACTAAGCCACTCTACATCTCCATCTTCATTCTCTCCTCCACTGTATCCATCATCTCGCTAAAACTCCACCCCAAGTAGGGGGCGTTCTCAACACGCATATCCACTCGTCTCTCTCTTCTTGAGAAATGTAAGAAGGGAAATCAAAAAAGTAATCTGTGAATCAACCGCATAGAGAATTGTATACGACTCATTTCACATTCATCACAATCGGTCAGGAGAGTTAAAAGGAGTGCATACGGAAGGAGCCGGTGCATCCCCGTTCGGTTGTTTGAATAGTGCTCACGTCTATGAATATCATCTCGCCGTGATCATCATGTTATTGCTAAAGCAGACGATTGTCGGCCTTTCCAAGCACTAAGAAAGACTCGCCATCGAGAGAGGGAAGAATAAACATGCTTCCGTACAAAGTCGAGAGGAGGGTTATGATCCGAGAATGGAATGTGGTCCATGGGGGCTGGAGCAAGCTACCATAGCGGCTGGCCGTCCGCCATACGAGTGAGGTGCGACGGCATCTTGGTGCGCGTGAGTGGAGGAGGTCTTGAGGCGAGATACAAGCAAAGGTATACAAATTGAACGAGAAGAACAAAGCGGAATGACGGACGATGGGAACGGGATGAGAACGAGGACGGGAAAGAATGAGAGAGTGTGTGCTCTGTTCAACCCTCGCCTGCTCTTCCGCTTCCGCTTGGTGGCACTTTCGTCCTTGGATTCATTTTGCACATAGTGACCGGGCAATCCTGCAGGGGTATCTCTCGCCCAACCCCCTCTTCCTCATGACCTGCCCATCACGATCATCAGCCTAATATTAAACAAACCAATATCGACGGCCATAGCCTCCTCAAAGTACCGCGTCCCGTCTGATCCGCGAAGTCAACTAGGAGAGCGCTCGGTTAGTACCAGGGTGGGGGACCACCTGGGAATCCCGGGTGCCGTCGTTTCTGTCTTTTTGCTCCTATTTTGCTCCATAGGTGTGTTTAGTGCAGGGAGAGATATGGTGCCCTTTTCTATACCAGAAAAGATTGAGTACCGCCGCCAGTTCCTCTTCTTGACCATATCAATTTTGGTAGCGTTGGTCATCGTCATCATATGTCAAAGGATTGACATCCTCCTTTTCTTTGAGCTTCGTTTGCCAGCAGGCCTTGCCTTCGTGCCCACAATAGGGAAGTTTTGCCACTCACGCCTGGGAGTCTTTATTGGATGCTCGGGTCAAGATAGCAAGAGCGCATCGCACCGGATCAGCTCATCAAAGACACATTTCAACCTCGATAATCAGGCAGCCACATTACCATCAGAAGAGACAACAGATAGAATATCCGTCATTGGACTAAAGCACAAATATAATCACCCAATACGCGACGCACATCATGTCAGTTCTCTACTCAACAGCCCTCGAATCATTCCTCTCCTCCACCCAAACCCTCTCCTCCACCTCCCCCGAATCCATCCCCGACCTCGCAACAGGCAGCACCTACAAGTCCGAGATAGAAGAGGCGAAAGAGAAGATTGATGGGATAGTAAATGGGTTGGAGGAATGGTTGAAGATGGAGGATGCTAGTGCGAAGGTTACTGCTGAGAGCGAGCAAGAAAAGACGGAGCCAGCTTCGGAGGATGCTTCCCCTTCTGATGACCCTCCGCCCTCTGAACCTCCCCCGCCGTCAGAGGAGGCTCCTGAGAAGGAAGGTTCTGATGACCCTCCGCCCAGTGGCACTGAAAGGGCCCCTGAAGCTACCCCCGAGCCGGAAAGTACCCCTCCAACCACCCAAAACCCAACTGAGGTTTCAGAAGTCCCCGCGACTGGCGATGATTCTCAATCAGAAACATCGTCAATCTCAACAGATGATACAGATCCGGGCGCGTCCACCGACAATACAGCTTCATCATCTACGGAGGCTACAGTGTCGGATACCCCTGCTGGAAATGACTCGCATCCAGAGGATAGCTCAACAGCAGATGCGTCGGCAGCAGTGGAAAATTCGACGAAAGAAGAAGGGAAGAAGGAGGAATAGCCGTCATTATCATATACAATAGAACCTATGCGACGATATCCGTGGTGAATAAATACTACACATGGCCATCAGACGGTACGACTGACATACCTCAATGTTGAGCAATGCGAGGGCAGTAGAACTTTCACGTTCGTGTACTAAACCGATCATCATCATCGGTGACATGGTGAAGTGTGCACCCATCAGTCAATAATGCCGACAAATGGATAGGCAGTGTCACGTTGAAAATGATTCCAGATACGGCTCATCACCCAACGCAACACCTCCACAGGTCACATAATCATAGACATAATGCCCCTGCCGCCCCATCTCCCCAGTCTTATATGAGCCTTTCGTCGTCTGTGATCGGTGATGATGGGGCAAGCGACCGAAAGATGATGTCGGTCGAGAAGCCGGCTCGAACTTGTGATTGACCTTCCTCTTGAGCCAGGTTCGGTCTGCATCACGCGGCCTGGAAGGCAAGAAGGACAGCGGCAGCGGACCGCCAGAAATGAGCTGGAGAGTGACTGTCTCTTATGGAATATTCTAGAAGAGCACCGGTTTGTGAGCCTAGGCATGTATGTACTCGGCTTGGGATGGACATACGGGTATGTGGACAGGAGCAGAGTCCATGCGACGGCCAGGTGGGATCGTGTGGGCAGTACATGGACCCATCGAGCCAGCATCGAGCGGACCACGCCGCATGCACCGTCACGCGGGGCGGCGGGGTACGCCGTCTGACGAGTTCCCACAGTGTCATGTGGTGGGGTGGCACCCGCCACATGACGGCTAAGGTCACCGTTGGTTCCACAGTTCTACCTGTACCCAACCGCCCAACAGATGAGTAGCCTGACCGACTTTTACCCGTATGCCTTCTCCGACTTCTTCGGGTCTGGTACGCCCTGTGTCTACAAGACGGGTCCTGCGTGGCCCATCGCCCGAGAGCAGAAGATCGTCCGCGCGGCTCGCCCCATCTACAACCACCCCATTGCACCCACCTGGCTCGAGACTGCATGGGCCATCGTCGCCCAGCTCGATTTGCTGCAGCTGAACTGGAACACGGTCAACCCTCTCGCGTATGCGAATGCGGGCGAGGCCGCCTTGATCTGTGACTTTGTCATCACCATTGGCGTGCAGCCCCGCTCTCTCGCCTACCCTGCTGCCGTGGCTGCTGCTCAGGCCGTCGTCGAGATCCTCGAGGTTAGTAAAGTTTTAAATTATGATCGGCTCAGACGTTAACTTCATTCTAGGCCGCCGGCTTCCCCGAGATCCAGGTGGCCTTCATCGAGTCCGTCTACCGTCGCCACATGTCCCACCCCAAGCGCATGAGCTTCAACCCGATCCTCGACTCTGAGGGTCTTCCCGCCCTGCGCAAGCCGTTCACGCCCACTCTCAGTCCTTCTATCGCGCCTCTCAAGTCGCCTTACTACGAGGGGTCCGGCGGTCTGTACTTCCGCCTCAACGCCGAGGAGGGCGACAATCGCGTTGCGCTCCTGACCTGCGCCCACGTCGCCCACCCGCCTCCGGTCTCTGAGAACAAGGTCTACACGCGCAGGAACGACAGCGAGGCGCGTGAGGAGATCATTCTCCTCGGCACGGGATCATACGATGCTGCGGTCGCTACCATCATGAAGTTCATCAACGACCGGACGATTGCCATCACCTCGTGGGAGACGGCTCGCGGTAGCCTCCCAGCGCAGAGGGACGGCGAGCCCAAGGGTGTCACGTCGAAGCGCAAGGCGCTCACGGACTTGATCGACGCGGCGAGCAACAAGATCGAAAAGGCCAACCAGCTCCACACCGATGTCACAAAGCATCTCACCACGACTGTCTCCCGCGTCATCGGCTTTGTTGTGCACTGCGCCAAGATCGAGGTGGGCGAAGACCAGTTCATGTACGACTGGAGTCTCATCCAGATGGACGAAGACAAGACCGAGTGGGACGACTTCAAGGGGAACAAGCTCTTCGTCGGTCCGTCTGTTTTTTGGCCGGATTCTCTTTTCGTTATTTAACTGACGCTCATTTGTTCTCCCTCTTCGCTCTTCGCTCACAGGTGGGAACAAGACCGCCGTCGACTGGGTCAATTACATGTTCCCCCAGGAGTTCAAGGATCGTCGCGGATTCCACGCGCCCGAGGACATGCTCCTTGCGCTCAAGGACGTCGTCCCCGAGGCAGAGTTCCGGAACCCCCAGAACTTCGACATCCACAACGTGAGGACGCTGCTTGCCGTCAAGAACGGTCGTTCCACCGGCACCACCTTTGGACGCGTCAACGGCCTGGAGTCCATCACTCGTCACTACCCCGAGCACGGCATCGCCCAGAGGACCCTCGAATTCATCGTCTGTGGCTACGACACGGTAAGGGGCAAGAACGACAAGTTCTCCGACGACGGCAAGTCTGGCTCGATCGTGGCGGGCCGCGATGGGCGTATCATTGCTCAGATCACGGGCGGTGGCGGCCCTACCGACGAGGCCGACAAGACGTACGTCACCCCCTTCTACGCGCTCCAGGGGGCCATCAAGAAGAAGTACCCGAACTGCTACCTCGTCCCCGCTACCGTTGTCTAAGTCAAGGTCGGTAGCCTCTCCCAACGACGCCTCTCCGTCCGACTGTCTTTTCTCTCGACCCTGTTTCGCCTTGGCCTGTCTCGCTTTGTTGCGCTTGGTCATATACTTGTATATCGTCAGTTTGTCGACACCGACTCCGCGCATCAACGTCCAGGTTCGTGTTCTGCCTCCGTTATTTTGTTCGTCCATGCTGATCTCTCGCCTTAGAACGCGCACATGTCGTCTGTTCCTGTCGTCCAACTTTGTCTTGGTCAATAGTAGTGTCTCTTTACTTGTCGCTGCCTACCATAGCTCCGAATGTCCTCATCTCATGTACCTATATACGCGTCCAGTCTTTCGCATTTGACGTGCCTGCCTGTCGTTGATCGTATAACCCCCAATGTCATTACTTGCGTACAGCTAAATCGATCGTACGCCTTTGTCGTTAAACACAACGTCTGATAAGCAAGCTGAACTTCGAACAACGACGAGAAGCCACTACACTATTACTCGTGTGAAGAAGTCCAGCCGCAAGGGACGACCCCGGTGGCTCTACGGCGAGCAGGAGAATCAGATGTTTCCCCTCGCTTCCGCAATCCGGCTTCCGCTCTTCCGCTTACCCACTCGCAGTCAAATTTCCGCATCAGAAATGATGATATTCCAGAAGCGTTCCCGCTGTTAATAGAACGTAGCGGGGGCAGCGCAGGCAGCTTGGGTCTGTCGTTGCGATGGTTTGGCCAGCTTGTTTTGCCGAGAAAAGGCAGTCATCTGGGAGAGGAGATTTGTTCCTCCGTGGTTCCGTGCTGCTGATAGTTTCAAGTCAGGAGGAGAGCAGATTGCCAGAAGAAAAGGAGAGACGTCCGTCAGCGCCCACCACGAAGCTCTTCGTCAATTTACACGTACAAAACAACACCACATTCTTCCTGCCCAGCGATTACTGCCTATCCGTGCTGGCTGAAATCTCAGTCCAGAGTGATCCATCGGTATTGTCATCACTTGTTGTTCTGTTGCTGGTCTCGCGGGTTTGGATAAGGCAGAGTGGAGGAATGTCGCTCCGGAGAAGAGCTGGTAAGAGCTGAGCGTCTCTTTGCGCGAGAGGGTTTTGAGCGGAAAGACGCACGAGAGGCCGTTGCTCCAGTCTGCCTCGCGAAGGCCGTACTGGGAGAAGCATACGGCTGAAGATGTGCTGAGGATCCTCAACGCTAGCGACTCTCAGCAGGGCGCTATGTTGCACCCTTTTACGCCTGACGCCAAGGCATCGCTCTTTGCGTATGGCGCCCATCTCCACAAGTCGGCCGTTGCCCTCCCCTCGTCGCTCTTTAACTGCCCTGGGCTTTACTTCATTCAAACAGGTACCCGCGGGAACGCCCATCGCCACAAGACTCGTTGCGGTCCTGTTCAAAACTGCCCAAACGCCCACTTCGACCTCTGCCATCTGGATCACTCCCGGCCGTGTACCCCGGGGCAAAGACAAGCCCATAGACCCCAAGATGTGGGAGTCTGAGGATTCCTAAGCACTAACCCAAACACTTGCTACGGCCAACGATGCAGTTAAAGAGTGCATACCTGAGGATTCCTAAGCACTAACCCAAACACTTGCTACGGCCAACGATGCAGTTAAAGAGTGCATACCTGAGGATTCCTAAGCACTAACCCAAACACTTGCTACGGCCAACGATGCAGTTAAAGAGTGCATACCTGAGGATTCCTAAGCACTAACCCAAACACTTGCTACGGCCAACGATGCAGTTAAAGAGTGACAAGAAAGAGAAGAAGCTATCGACGCGCAGAATAACGTGTGTATTGATTTTAATTACGAATCCCGCATAACGCCGGCTGTGGCTGATTCTGACACAAGATCCCCATGGCCGAAGCTATCAAGTTTGCGGGGCACGGTAATATCCTGGACAATGTGCAAAGAGACGCGGGAAGAGAGGGAGAGTGAGTGGCAGGAGGTGTTTGTGAGGAGTGTCAAGCAGGGTGATGGTATCGCCCAGTTTATTTACTGAAGCTTCTAGTATGTTCATTCGTTTCTGAGTGTGGAATGGAAGCTGACACGATATAGCAATGGAGCATTCACGACTCAAAGCTGCCGCACCCTCCTCTCAGCCCTCCAATGGGCCGCCAGCCCCTCCGCAGGGATGTCAAGGTGCTCGCCCTCATGGGCGGCCGCTACTTCCCCACGGGATCGCCCTCAACACCATCGAACACGCCTCCTCTCCCGGCCAAGAGACCTGGGACAATATCTGCGCCATCGACGATATCGTCTCTTTCCTCTGCTCCGACATTTTCAACGAGCAGCCTGCTTTCATGCATGGCCAGGGCAAGGCGTTGAGTGAGAGGGGCGTTGTGACGGTAGCGTTTGTGAGGTGGAACGCGGCTGCTGGTGGTGTGGCGCTCGCTACAGCTTGTGATGTCGTCCTCGACGGGCGGGGGTGGGTTTGAACCCTTCTTACAGGGGTATGGGTTGCATGGAAGTAAACTTCACTCGTATGTCCTCTCTATGTCTCTGGGGCGGCGGCTGACGCAATCAAGATCGAGCTCGACTCTTTGAACCGCTTACACGCGGTCCAAGGGGAGATCGTGCCCCGATTGTACGGACGATGGACGAGCAGGGGTCAGTTCCCCAACGGCAGGGTGGCGGGCTTGGAATGTGTCATGTTGGAAGACTGTGGGATGCCCTTGGTCCAGTCTGACGAGCTTACCGAGTCAGTCCGGGTTGCTCATTCTCTCACTTGACTTGGGAAATCGCTTATCGTTTCGCTCCTAGGTCATACTATGACAACGTGGTGGGGACGTTCCCGACCGATCTATCATCTGATGTCCGGTACGTGGCTTGGCCCTGACCCAGGCTTCCGATACTTGGCCTGACTACCCGTCGCAGACAACAGATCATAGAAGGCTACAACAGGCTACACCAACAAGGGATTTTGCACGTCGATGTCAACGCCCAACATATCCTTTGTCATCCGGTCGATGGAAAACCTCGAATCATCGATTTTGAGGGTTCGACATCTATCTCCGAGGCCCAAGCAGCGAAGTGGGACTACGGCGTTGAGGCGGAGATGGAGAGGGTTCGGCGGATGGTGCGCGAGCATTGAGTGCTTCAAGTATCTCCACTGTGTGGAATATAGTAGAATGCTGTTGTATGGACATTCGTTATCGAAGAGAGGTCTGGAAGCGATTAAGGGAGCGGATGCACTTGGCAGTGTTTGCGGCGGGCTGGGAGTTGGTCGGGGTGTGGGAGTGGGTTTTGGAGTCGGACGAAGTATCAGCTGGGTCATTCAAGTCTTGCAGCTTGGTGCTTTTTGAGAGGCTGGAAGTGTCACGCCTGGGGAGTGCCCTTGACGTGCTGAAGAGAGTTTTGTAGTAAGGGGCAAAAACCTTTTCGTTATTGTCGCATATGAAGAAGAAGAACTATGAAAGAATTCTGCTACGTGTATCTACGGGGGCACGGTCCACGAAACACACAACTAATCGACTAAATTACCCCTGCTGGAAATGACTCGCCTCCAGAGGATAGCTCAACAGCAGATGCGTCAGCAGCAGTGGAAAATTCGACGAAAGAAGAAGGGAAGAAGGAGGAATAGCCGTCATTATCATATACAATAGAACCTATGCGACGATATCCGTGGTGACTAGATACTACACATGGCCATCAGACGGTACGACTGACATACCTCAATGTTGAGCAATGCGAGGGCAGTAGAACTTTCACATTCGTGTACTAAACCGATCATCATCATCGGTGACATGGTGAAGTGTGCACCCATCAGTCAATAATGCCGACAAATGGATAGGCAGTGTCACGTTGAACATGATTCCAGATACGGCTCATCACCCAACGCAACACCTCCACAGGTCACATAATCATAGACATAATGCCCCTGCCGACCCATCTCCCCAGTCTTATATGAGCCTTTCGTCCAGGTAGGGGATGGGGAACGGGATGGTGGCCTCGCATGGGCATGAGAGATGGGTTGTCATAAGGATAGTCCATGCGTGGGACAATAATCCACAAGCGCCTTGTGATAATGCAGACGACCCCGACGACTATCTCCATGCCTTTACCCGCTCTGAGCTTGCGCGGCATACCGTCGATACGCCAATATTGCTCTTCTCCTGGTGTGGCTGGGCACATTTGTTTATTCTGTTCGTCACTAAGTCTTATGCTTGGGACGTTATTATCGGCGAGGTATGCCGACACAAGCCGTCATCTCCGTCGCCTGTCGAAATGTTGATTATTGTGATCAAAGGTTCAGTACTTCCGATCGCGAGCGGGTGAAGCTCAAATAATCCGTATGTTTCTTTTCTGGCGTATGACTTGCCATGTAGATGAGGGAAGATATTCTGGTACTTTCCAGGCCAAAAGGAAAAAAAAAATGTCCCTTCAGACCTGCCTCTCTGTGCATCGTCTAGATGCCTATCAATACTGTACTCGTAAAGTACGAGTATCCAGCGGCTGCGGGAATGTACAATAGAAGCCGCTCAGCAGTATTTAATATCGAATAGTAGATGGTGTCGGGGAAGAGATCATTCAGCAGGACAGTATCTCCTACCAAAATTGTACCGAAGATCTGCCCGAAATGAGCAACGATACACCAACAGCAGCAGGTATTGACTTGGTTCTCACCTCAGTGGAGACGTTGGACACAGAACAACCGTCCGTGGCTTGGGAACCCTGGCCCTTGGCTTCTGCGCACTGGGACGCTTTAACTGTCGATCATCTTATCGCAATGCCTGACGTACGAAGCTCTCATCCAGAAAAGAACTCGGTTCGCTCACTCGCATCATTCTACTGCAGGACATGTTTGCCAGGACGTTGGCACAGTGGAGGAGAGACACTCAAAATGGGGAATCAAACAGGAGCCTTCAAGCTCGCATTGAACAGGCAAGTCAGCAATACCTGTCCGAAGAGCTCGACGACGAGGACCCGGGCGAAGGATCATCAATTAGGTTCGAAGCAACTAGCGCAACTGACCCTGGGTGTGTACTAGTCTCGCGGGTTCTCGACCACACCTACTGATCCCCGAAGCTGATTTTAATGTAGCATGGTGTATGATCAGACCGAAGCTTCAACAAGTACTGGAAGAACGCGCAACACAAGCGACAGTAGAAAAGCTAGTGCGTCAACTGTCCGATGATTTCATCTGTGCACCTGTGGATAGTGCATCTGCTGACAAACATTGCCTTTTGACACAGGAAAAGCCATCACAAATGCCGCCTACAGAGAAAAGGTGAAGGCTGAACCTGGATGGACCGAACTAAGTACGCTTCTCATACACCGATTCTGCCTACTTTTTGATTCTCATCTGATATCTGCTTGAAAGACAGAGCGCGCGCGCGTGTATCCATGCGAAAAACCCGGGAGAAGCAGAAGAAAGCTCGTATGGAAAGGCTCAAGAAGGCCATGTCAGCTGAAGAAGGCATCGACGACGAGGGAACAGCTGAAGAAAGCAACGAAAATAATGCTCATAATTCAGGCACAGGGTCACCTCATACAATCGATGGGCAACTGGAGGAGTAAGAAATCAATGAGCTTCATTACGGATGTGCCTAAGAGATAGGATCCAACGCATATGCATGTTGGTTTATGAATGATACAATAGCGCTTCTCTTCTTCGGGTTTCTTTGCCGGCGGCCAGCCATAGAACTCGTGAAACTGAGAGAGCCCTTTTGTAGACTTTTGCAACAGGTGGGGTTGTACAGCACCCCCAAGGGTGACATTGGATTTGGCATTTGAATGATCCCATATGTGTCTCATATTGCCAGTCATTTAGCTGCAATCCCGTCCTCATATCCGCTGCGGACAAGTCGTCTCCTTTCAGTTCAAAGGAAGCGTTCCAGATAGAATGCTGCTCCGATGTTCCGGGCACTCTATGGTACGTATAGAGCCCTCGAGTCACAGGTCTCCTTTGAAGGTGTATGTACATTGTGCGGAGCTGAGTTTGGATGCGTGGATCGACTCGGTTTTGGTTGACTCCTCCCCAGGGCTGGAGAGTCGCTATAAAAGGGTTCACGGGTGCATATCATTTCATTGTCAACTACATCAATTCTCCCGGTCCTACATATATCAAAGCGCTTGGTCGCACGTACACTGCCAAAACTCTCACTACAGCTCCACTACACACATATTACCACACCACAAGCTTAAACACACACACGCACCAACAACATGTCCGAGTCAGCAGACGCCACCTCCTCCGCCAAGAGCACCACCAAAGGCTCTACTCCCACCGTCGCCACCACCGAAGACCTCGCGAAAAGTATCAAATGCCTTGCCCAAAGCGCCAAATGGGCTCGCAACACCCGTAAGGCTACCTTGACCAATCTCACCACAGAGCAAGGTACAGAGATGGACAAGACTCTCAGAGAGGCGCAAACACAGCTGCATGAGTTGAACAAAACATTCAAAGAATGGGCCAAGAAGAATAATTGGACTAGGCCATCGAAGACTGGGGCTTCTGGTGCTGGTGATAAGGAGACAACAGAAACGAAGACAGAGGGGACGGATGATGAGAAAAGTGAGGGGAAGAGCGATACGAAGAGTGAAGGGGAATGAGCCTGTCGTCTGTAAAGGCCGAAATCCACTCAGTGGCGACTTGGTGCGCGTGAGAGGAAGATATCATATAAGACGGAAAAGCCTCTAGCGGAAAGTCCCGTTGTCGGTACCCCGGTATTGACAAGTAAAGAGATCATTTGTGTTATGCTAGATCACTGTATCGAGCAAGGCTTAGGATTTTTGAGGTTCTATAAGCCGGGCTTTTATGAAATGACATCGATGAGGGTCTATTCTGCGGCTTCCTTGGTCCCTTACATACCTTCCTGCCTCATCGATGATTTCCAACGCTGCACTCTGTCTTTGCTGTTTGCCACCCGCTTATTCAACATATGTAACATGGCAGAACAGGCCCCCACCTCCCGTATCACATTAATCACTCTCCCGGCCTCTGAAAAGCATGCTAACGTCTTTGGAATCACTCTGCGAGTGGTTCTATGACTGATGGTTGCTCGCACGCGAGTGGTCCGGCCCCTCCGATGCTCACATTGTTGAGCTAGTGGTCCCACCGTAGAGTAGAGACGGGAATTCACAGGTCGAGAGACAGGAGTGGGAGTGGAAGTGACAGGTGAAAAGGCATTGGCTATGGGGTTCATGGTGTGAAGAAGTCTTTGGCGCTGGAGCGAACGAGAGAGACTTCAGCCAACCTGCTAGCTACTTGTACATGAAAGACGTACAGTACTCAGTACTCGTACTTGCATCTGGCTCTGTCATAGTAGAACAACTTTACATGATGCTGGGTAACTTGTTACAGAACAGCAACAATGCGCACTGCACCACCCCATATCAGGGGATGCCCGTCGGATTTCCTGATCGCGCGTGAGTGACTTTCGCACAGCGCCCACTTGTGTATCTCTCGTCTCTTCTTTTCCTTCTTCCAGCTATAATACTCACTCTACTCACTTGCTGCCTCTATACCCCTCTTCTGAGAAGAGGCTACTCCTCACGTCGTTGATCGACAGTAGCTCACATCTCACAGCCGACCTCTCCCTGCCCCCTCCCATACTCTCCTTCGTCCAACCTGCCCTTCACCCTTACCACCCCTCCGCATCATCTCTTATGCCCTGCCCCCCCGCTCGTTCCGGACCACCCTGCCACGACAAGATGGGCTACTTGAAAGCTCTGATCAAGAAGAAAAAGTCGCACGACGCTGTATCGATCAAAGACAAGATCACCTATCCCGTCGCCGTCTCACAGAGCCGGCCTCTACCCCCTATCCCATGCCACTCGCGGACTCCTTCGGATGCGTCTATTGCCAGCATAGTCCCTGCTACGCTCGCGTTCCCCAAGCCTCCCAATCGCTCACCAATCTACACCGCCACTCCATTCGACCATCGCACGCGCGAAACAGGGGACGGAGACCGGCAGCGGGTGAGCGACGATAGCAAAGCCCTGTCGCCGAGAGGCTCTGGAGAGAGCAGAATGAGTGGAAGAGGGGATGCTCGTACGAGGGACAACAAGGAAAGGCAGAACGCTCAGGTACCATCGTCACCGAGGGTTCGGGAGCCTGCCGAGAAGCGGTGTGAGTTTGTGAGAGCCACCCCAACCCAGAGTTCTTCTGACCTTTCCAATAGCAAAAAGCCCCAGGGTATCTGTGGCACCCATGTTGCCCGTGCTGGACATTGGCGACATGATTAACGACGACTCTATGACTTGTAAGTCCTGTTTTGTTGTAAGCCGCATCGATGGTGCTGACTATACCCCAGCCTCTGCAGCCTCTACCGCTATCCTCACACCACCTCCCAGCGGTCAATTGTACTCTCTAGAAAGTCCTGGTAAGTTTGTATTGTCCTTGACATTTTGTACTGATCATCATTCAGCTACGTCTTCACCACTGCGTCCCAAGCAACACTCGCGCCATACCAATCCCATCGTCATCATCCACCCCGACACCAGCCTCGACAGCACAGTGGAGCTTTCGTTCAGCCCAGAAGCAAGCCCTGTAAAGATATCAAAGGCTCAAAGAGCGAAAGTGTGGGACTCGGGTAGCGTGAAGGATGTTCAGGATACGCCGAGTGACAAGCCGGTTGCGAGGGTCAGCGAGGCGAGTGCCATGGTTGCGAGAGACTTTGCCTCCTCCACACGCGCCGAGCATCCTCCCGTACCATCCCTTGTCCAAGCGCAGGGCAGCACCCACGACAGCACATTCTCAAGCGACAGCGAGTACTCTGTCAACACTTCTGTCGTCGCGCCGCGTCCGAGCCGGCCAGGCGACGCTTCGAGCTGCTGGTCAGTCACTCCGGGTGAATCGTCTATGCGTACTCCGTTATTGCAAAAGGAGAGGAGCACGGTCGATAGTGAGATCTGTGAGTGATATTGTGGATCGTTGGGATGGAACTGATACGTGTGGTGCAGTTACTCCTCCTAGCCGTTGTTCGAGCCTGCCTCTCGTTCCAACACAAGGCGACGGCAATCTTGCCCCTACCCCTCCCGCCGCCAATGGTGCAGAGCTGCCTTCGTCGGTGTCTTCAAGTCCTGAGTGGTGGTTTGCCGATCACTCGTCGAAAGATTCGGTCACCCCAGAGCCTGCTCGGGTCTTGTCCGACGCTACACTAGTCAAGCCACTCGCATCACCTCTATCGCTCGTGGCTACTCCAGCCGAACCTGACACCGACCTATCTTCTCCCCACCCATCCTCAGCCCTCGCACCCACCTCTCCCGCCCTCTTCACGGCCCAAGGCAGCCCCTCACCCACTACCGCCCAATTCTTCTCTGAAAAAGAGTTGAAAGAGAAAGTGTGGTATGATGTCAAGAGCTCGAGGGGTACGGTAGAGCCCGTGGAGCCCGTGGAGCCCGTGGATCCGCATGAGAGTGGGAGTTGGAGTGATGGGCCGTCGTGGGTTGCTGGAGATGATTTGCATTTGGGGTATTTGAGGATTACCGGGGAGGGGCTGGGTGGGGAGCGGGTGGACGATGGAGGGGATGTGATAGGTATGTTGTTAGTAAGTGTTGTCCATGCGCTGATAGACTTTCGCAGAAGTCTTGGATCGGTCGGATACTCCTGACTCTTTGGATCAACATTCTTTCGCCGAGGACAGTCTGCATACCAGGATTGATCCCAATCACCAAGAATCCCAGATCCAAGTTACCGAGTGCTCCTCTAACGACTCGTCTCCTTTATCACCTGGCAATATCCCCAGCCTCTTCCAAGCCATCTGCGCCCGAGCTCTTCAACGCGGATACTTGGGCATAGACGACTTTCACGCAGAGCGCGGGGTTGTGGAGGCGCTGGCGGAGGATGAAAAGTGGTTGTCGGTGGATCATGATGTGGCGAGGGAGATGGTTAATCTGAGAAAGGAGAATACGAGATTGAAGGTGCGTTCTCGAGAGTATCGAGGGGCATATTAGCTGATATTGATACGAGGCGGAGCTTGAAGCCAAGACTGCAAAATCAACAACAAGCACCCCATCTAAAACACCTCTCAAGCGACGCCAGAAGTCAGCTCTACCGCTCATTCAAGACGTCTTTCACTCGAGCCCTCCTCAAGCTTTTCATTCTACTCCTTCACGCACTCGAGGCCTCAACCACCCGTTCGGCTCGCCTCTTTCTCGCGCATCGTCATCATCAAGCGAAGCATCCGCTCTTCAAGCCGAGATCATCCAACTCCACACCGAACTTGCAACCTCCCGCGAACAGCAAGACCAACTTCTGGAACGGGCCGAGACTGCTGAATCATCCGCCGAACGCGCTACAGAATCTATCTCCGCTTTGCATTCCATGTTTACGCGCATCACCTCGGAACTTGAAGATTCACACCGTCGCGCAGCTATGGATCGATCCCAGATGGAAAAAGTCACAGCCGAGTATGCCGAGGAGAGACGGCAAGGGGAAGCAGTGAGGAATGAGCTCGAGTCGTGGGGGAAACAAGAGAGGGGTGAGGTTGTTCGGCTCAAGGGGGAGATTGGAAGCTTGGAGAAGAAGGTGGATGGGTTCTTTGGGATGGCTGATCTGTTGACCCGGTGCATGGTATGCCTCCCTTCATCGATGTGTCTGTTTGTTGGCTGACGATCGAGTAGGATGAGCTCGTCCACCTACGCGAAGCCAAGGTCGTCCTCGAGCAAGAGATAACCGCCATACTGTCGATTCAATCATCTTCTTTCCTCAAGAAATCTGACATCCCCCGACCCACCAAACGGCATTCATGGACGACGATCATCAATAATCGAAGTGCAAGTGTGGAACGAGCGGCTGGATCGCCTTTTTGTACCGCTGGACGGACTATGAGATAGCTGTAGTTGCTAGTGAGGCGCTGAGAGAAGTAATGAGCATAGCGCTGCGCAGTACTACATATTTATGGACCATGGAGAAGATATAAGGTCTCTTGTTCAGCTTGACTGAGTCATGCCATTCTACTAGATGCATACCCTTATAATGCTAGAGAGCAGTGAAGAGGAAATGATGTGACAATACTGCTCGCGCTTCATAAATCACATATAAGGGCCTTGCGACGCGGTAAGAAGCACCTTCACTGCTCAAAATACACCACAGGTAATCATCCTAGTCCGCCGTCCAGCAGGCAATAAGAGTAAGAGCAAAGAAGAAGCAAAAAAAGGCAAAAACGACGGCACCCGGGATTCCCAGGTGGTACTAACCGAGCGCTCTCCTAGTTGACTTCGCGGATCAGACGGGACGCGGTACTGTGAGGAGGCTATGGCCGTCGATGAAGAGGTTATTACCAAAGTAATTTTGCGTCACATTTTGAGTCGTCGTAGAGGAAGTGGAAATGAATATGAATGTGAAGACTTGTTTCCGTTGTTTGGCTCCAGACGCAATGCTTAGAGGAGAAAACTCGACTTCTGCGGTCTGGACGGAAGACTCTGGCGCCACACGGGTATTGACGGGATCAATTGTGCTCATGAACGAAAGCAGACGATCAATATCGCCCGCAATCCTCTTCTGCCATGGATCTTCCTCTTTCACTCGAAACTATAGATATCCCACAGTCACAGCTCAACATCCACCCCATGTCCCCCTCGCCGTCAAAGACCCTCTCGCTCCACTGCGACCTGACCACTCTCTCGCCTTTACCCTCCGAAGTCATCTCCCTCATCTACGCCTACTGTCTCGCCCGAAACCCCCTCGAAAGTCGAAGCCAGTTCCTCAATCTCCTCGTTCTCTCCAAGAAAGTCTATTCAGAGAATGCTTGGAGGCTGTATGAAGCTGTCGAGCTGAATAATCAGAATCACAAGGCGTTTTTTGACGGATTATGGAGCCGCGGGGAGATTCACGTTTGTCAGAACCCGTGTCCTCCTTACCTCCGGTGCGAGGCTTCTGCAAAAGCCCTCGCACGAGAAATCGAGGGATACTCTCATCCTAAACGACAGTTGAAACGACCATCCCACATCCCGTCCAAGATTTCATACGAGTACGAATCCTACATCCCCTTCCATCTCCATCCCGCCATTCGAAAACTCCTCCTCATACGCCAATGTCGCAGGCTCTACATCGATAGCTGGCGGGCCTTCGTCGGACTTGAAAAAAGAAACGAATCGGTCCGGGACGCCGTCAATGCGTGGCCTCCGGGACACGACATCCGTCATGCCGAGCCTTCCGACTATGCCTGGATCTCAGATTCCCTCTTTTTCTCCGTCACCCATCTCTCTTTCGGAGAGACTGTCTCATTGGTTGCTCCCGAGATATCTTCGGTCAAGTACAAGTTCTTCGGGCCGGCGCTCAAGCATGTCTGCCTGAGCTTCAACGACACATTCTACGATTTGGAAGCCGTTTACAAGGAGGCAGCCCAGTCGGGGAGGCTATATGAGTTCAAGGAAAGACAGTCAAGGGAGAGCATCACAGAGCTGCTTCAAGAGCGACTATCTTTTGCGCTTAGGTTCTGGGTGGATGAGAAGACGTCCTTGACGCTACACAACGCGTGGCCCGACGATATTGACCCTGGGCTGGCTGATACGATGATCTATGAATTGCCGAGGAGTACCAAGAATGGTGACGGTGACTGGTGGAGGCAGATCGCGATGACGACTTCAGAGATGAAGGCTTACAGGTCAGAGTTGGAAAAGCGGATGAAAGATGACAGATGGGGAGCCGATGCGTATGTAATCTGCACTTTTGATCTTTCATGGCTGATTGCTCTATAGCTGGCGACCCACGATGAAACCTTGGAAGATCCGATTCACCAATATGGCGCCCATCCCACCCAATACCGACATCATTTCGGCCGTCCTCGGTGATTATCCTCTCGGTCAAGATGAACGTTTTGATGGGTTGTTCAAAAAGTGGTGGGAAGAAGTCGTCTGCTTTGAGGGACCAGTGAAGTGCGATTGCTGCGAGATCTTCAAAAAGAAACACCCAAAAGTAGGCGTCCTTGCGTCTAATGAAAGGAAGACATTCTGATCAGGCCGACTCGTACAGATCAACGCCTACGAGTACTCCTACAATACTCGCCGGGAAAATTTCGCATCCATTCGGGAAAAACGGATGAGATTGTAGGTTCTATGCGCATATGCTTGACAGATCTCTTTGACTTTCTTTCCTTGCATAGCGCAAAGAGTACATTACTTCAAGATGCTGAAGCCACTTTTTACGGGTATTAATCTGCCCAATGCCAGTACTCCTCGCATCTTTCCACTCATCGCGCTCGTCATTCATTGCATATCGCCAAGCTTAGCGGCATCCTTGGCAAAGGGCATACAAGAGTGCGCATCTTTCGCCTATGAAGGTATGACATGCTCATTTATGTGGTTACAGTACGAACGCGACTGTAGAATATACCAAGTAAACATGGGCTCGTAGAGGACTTGTGAGTTCAATATCATCATCGGCGAGCCTCACGAGCTGACATTCATGTAGGGCGAAGCATCTATATATGTCCAACTGCATGGTCTTCTTCGCCTATTTTTCCATCCTCTCCCTCAGAAACTTCAATCTCAGCAATCTCGCCCATCGTATTCGCTATCTCATTCGACATCTCATAGTAGGGCTCGATACCGTCTTTGGTGGTGTGTCGGTCGCTCATTCGATAGTTCGCTTCGAGCGGCCCGCATCCGCCTCGCCTGGCCTCACTTCAAGGCTCCGACACCCTAGCTTTCAACGTATATTGCAAAATAGGAGAGGTTCGGAGGACGATGGAAGCTGACAAAGAAAGGGGCGAGCCGGAGCATGAAAGCAGCCGGGAGTGGGATCGCCAGTCTGCCCTTGCGAGCAATTTGAAAGGGCCAGGGAGGAGTCATTGAGTGCAATATGGCGTCCAAGTCTTAGTCCGAAAGCGGCGGAGCGGCAACCATAGAGAGATGTAGCCAAACTGAAGACAGAGAGGTGTGGTTGGACCATGAGACGTAACAATACATACAAGCGTACAGTAGAGTATTCCCAATCAGCTCACCACCCTCATCTTTCCCTGTTGAACAGCAGGATCCGAACAGCAAAAGGCAAAGAGCAAAAACGACGGCACCCGGGATTCCCAGGTGGTCCCCCACCCTGGTACTAACCGAGCGCTCTCCTAGTTGACTTCGCGGATCAGACGGGACGCGGTACTTTGAGGAGGCTATGGCCGTCGATACTGTCAAGGTGCAATATGTGTTTATAGGCTTTTGGGCATAGAGACGAGAGGAGAGAATTACATCTGGCTGTACAAGTACGATATCTGTAAACTCAACTTCATCTGGCACTCCACACTTGTCTATCCAGAGCCATATCCTACACAATCCATCTTCCTTCTTCCATGTATCTATTCTGGCCATGTATCTATGCTGGAGTTTGAGCCACTAAGTCGAGTCAGTCAACAGCCGCGAGGCGACAATAGAACATTACACACCCACGCCGTTCTCCCCGCAGCACATACAGCCGGCCTTCTCCTCGAAGGCGACAGTGCTCTCAAACCAACTTCTAAACAGTGCCTCGAATCTCTGCGGATGTTGGCCAGGGTAGTAATCTCTGATGTAGAAAGAAGGAAGATCAAAGTCGGGCTGTAGGGAAATGCCAGTGAATCGGATCATGGGATACTTGTCGCTTGCGAGCATGCTACACTATGACGTTAGCAGGGGACACGATCATGATCCACAACACGTACCCGATGTTCAAGTCACTTGAAAGCCTCAAGCGATCCATATAGCGCCGAATGTACGCCATCGTATCATTCAGCTGCTCCTCCCATCCATATACCTCGTCCATTCTCGACATATCGTACACGACTGTGTCCGCTGATCCCTTCCGAAAGTATGCCGGCCTGGCGTTATGATATGCCAAACTCGTCCCTTTCCCTTCTACGCCTCTGTTGAAATTGAGATGGTCTTTGAGAAGGCGAGACACAGCATCGGCATTGGAGTATTGTCGTGCCACATACTTTGTCGGGAAGTGTCCAGAGCCGTCGATCTCTTCGGCATAGAACGCGTGGTCGGGCCGCATACACACATTCTTCAGCCTCGGGCTAAAGTTGCAGTTCTCCAATGTAGGTTTGTCGTGATCGTACACTGTCCCCAAAACAGACATGAAATGCTCCCCAAAAGAGACATGGGAGACAGAGGAGAATAAAGGCTCGTTGACCCGCTGGCCAGGTAAGAAGACACGCTTGTCCGGGCTGGGTGCCACGGGTATGGCTTGTACTGCTTTTCGGACACCCTCAGCCACCCGTAGGAACGTCCGAAAAGCCCCGTAGGTCTCAAATGACACTTGTGGGCATTGTCGGATGAGGAGCACCTTTCGGAGGGAGGGAGGGAGGTGAAAGGCGGCAGAGGGGTCATACTCGAACGGCGGGCGCTCTGAAGGCGATTTTGGCGGCAGCTTGACAGGGACGTAACTCTTCCCCATCAGATCATCGACCCACGCCCCCTCTCTTCGCCCTTTCATACCTCGCCCACCACCTAGAGAAAATCCCAAAGCATCGTCCATAGACCACAAGTCCCCAAAGAACAGCTCGCAGTTGCGGTCATCGAGCACGACACGCTCGTACAGCCTCCAAGCGTACTGAATATAGATCTCTTTGGAGAGTAGGATGAATTCGATGAAGTGGGGTCTGCACGAGGATAAGGTTTGGGCAAGGAAGTGGGTGAAAATGAGGGCGATGATCTCCGGAGGCAGGGGGTAGAGGGTGATGATGTCGATGGCGACAGGAGGGGTAGTAGGCCAGCAGCGCGCGCATTGGCGGTCGTTCATGTCTAGAAAGGTTATGGAGGGTATGGCGATGAGACCATGGTGTTGTTATATACAACAATGGAATCTTGTCAAGGCACGCCATGAGGTTGTATCGAGGCCACCCCCACTTCCATCACCCCACCTTCGGAACCCCGAACCATCATCTCTTTTTCAACGATACTGTTATCCAGACCTCTTCTTCCTCGCAATAACCCTGGCAAGAAACAAGCTGGCTCTCCTCGCCTTCCTGCAGTGCCTCTCGGAAAGTACGGTCGTCATCAATAGGCGATATGAGGATGGGTGTTATGCGTAGCGTTGGGTTGATAGTATGTCTGAGTGGAGAAATATGCAGGTGCGAAAAAAAAAAAAGAAACATCGTGCGTTATGATTTCTCCGGGCTACATAGCATTCGGCACGTATATCAAGGCGGTCGCAGAGATCGCATGTAGATTGGACATACTTGTACTCGTACATCAAATCGCAATTGGAATCCTCCGGGTTCCCTCGTGCACTGTAGGAACCATTAGACAGTGATCTGTAAACGTGCAAGAGTCCTGGTCAGCATAGTTCGATACCACAGCTCGCACGCATACGTACTCTAGGACGCCCCTTCCCAAAGACCTCGGAGCATTCGCATTTTGCCGGTCCCTCAAAGCTGACAACCCCATGCCACCATTTTCTGAACAGTTGAGCTAGTCGTTGGGAATGTCTGGTTTCGTTCTCACGTCCGCGATCATAGCCCCCTCGAGCAAAAAGCGACGCGCCGTCAAATGGGCCTCAATCGCTAGCCATCAATCAAACGACTATCACGCCATCCAAGACACTGCCGAGGACGGAGATGGAGGGGACCGCAAACGAATGACGAGCGAGACGGATGCTGTGACGTCGGAAAGGATCACAGAGGAGACGACGGTGAAGGAGGGCACCCTGGCGGATATACCTTGGGCTATACAGTTGTCAGCGCGCGGCATGTGTGGCCGATCATGTGAAACATACTGTAGAGCCTTGTCCTCCCTTGAAAAGTACCATTCTTGCACTGGCACTGAAGACATCACGCCGATCTGGCAGGAGACTAGGCTCGGTCAGTATCCCTAGTCAATTGGCGGGTAGGGATACGCACCTTTGGATGACCCATCTTGAAGATATCACAACACTCGCATGCAGTCGGTCCCTCAGAACTGACGACCTCTGCCCACCACTTTCTGAACACCTGGTCGAATTGTTCGTATGGGCCATCTCGGCTATAGCAGCAATCGTTAAGGAAGAGCTGAGGGAGATCGACGTCGGCTGGAAGGGGCGCCATATTGGTGAAACGTATTTTACAAGGTGGAAACTGGGGCTTCCAGCTACAGAAAGCATCAGCCATGTACTGTCAAAGATACACTACTACTCGCCTGTCTGCTCCCGCTTCGCCTTGCCGTAGCTTGTATCCCAACTCCGACATGTGGGCTCCCATCTCCCCTTTTATCATCATGATCTGCTTCTTCCACTCATCCACACCAGCATCCGTCTTTCTAGGCATCTCGTATATCATCGTATCCGCTAGTCCAGCGTCGAAAACTTCGAAAGCTTCGGGTCTCGCGTCGTGTAACGTCAGGGACGTCTTCCGATCTGTCGCGTACCAGAGCGCGAACGGAACGTCTCCTTCGAGCGTTTCTGTCACACGCTTTCTTGTATACTCAATATCGCCATCGCGGTCGTTGTAGCTGAAGCTGAATACATCGTAAAAGTCGTCAAAGTCGTCGCAAAGGGCCAGGCAGATGTGCTTGAGCGACGGGCCGAAAAGCTCGAATTCTATCAGCCAGTCCCGATTTGGGGGGTCGGATAAATGGTAGTAGGCCATGAATGGTGTGCCAAAAGATAGGTGGGTGACGGAGAAGAACAACGGCTCTATCGCCCAGCCCTTAGATATTCTGCCATCAAGCCAACAGGTGGCTAATCTCTGGACCTCATGGTTGCACATCTGCAGCCCCTCAAAAGTGTTACAGCTATGGATATAGAGCCTGCGGCACTGTCGTATGAGGAGAACTTTTCGAATACAGGGGTGAAGGTGGAAGGGGATGTGGGACTCGTACTCGTATGTGGCGTACGGGGCAACAGAGTCGGACGAGAGGTAGGTCGGTCGTTCCAGAGGTCGCCTTGGAGGAGTAAAGAGCTCTATTTCGTCGACAAGGTCTCCTGGCGTAAAATCTGGCCAATCGCTTCCGTCGTCCGTCTCCACGCTTGGGGATTGCAAGCGCATGGCCTTCTTGATGAAACCACCCGCGACCCATACCCCTTTAAGGAACGCCTCGCAGTTCCAATCGTCGAGTTCCACGACTTCATACAGCCTCCAGGCATTCTCGGAATAGATTTCCTTGGAAAGCGTGATGAGGTTCAGAAAATGGCTCCTGTTCTCGATGGGGTTTTGAGCGAGGTAAAAGGAGTAGATGAGGGCGACGATTTCGGAGGGCAGTGAGGAGAGGGTCAACGCTTCGGGGTCGGTGAGGGAGGTCTTGGGGCTTGAAGGCATGATCTAGTGTTGGGAGTTGGGGTTGGTATGAAAGTCGAAGAGAATGAACGAAATCAAGAACATCGTCGTTGTCACTATTGCCGGCAGTTGCTCTTTCTTCGAACAATTGATCCCGTGCGGGGATCCCCGTACATGTCCTCCTCAATGACAATGTCCTTCATCGACGGCCATAGCCTCCTCAAAGTACCGCGTCCCGTCTGATCCGCGAAGTCAACTAGGAGAGCGCTCGGTTAGTACCAGGGTGGGGGACCACCTGGGAATCCCGGGTGCCGTCGTTTTTGCTCCTTT